GTATCTCTCTCCTGTTTTCTTAAACTTACCTTGACTGCCTCTGCAGACACACTATTTTCAAATAAGGTGGCATTCCAAAGTTCCAGGGAGACACGGATTTGGGGGACACACTGTTCAACCCAGTATGCTCGGAACAAAGGCAGCACCCCTTGTGTGGCTGTCTCCCCTCCTCCCCAGCTCCTAAGCTGAGCACTGGAAAGATGGCAGGAACCAGCACTGTGGTCCCTGCATTCATAGGCCTGGGTTCCTTTAGGTGCAGCCAACCAGAAACAAAAGGAACAGATAAAATGATCAGATGGTGCTGGCCACTGTAACTCAGTGGTTAGATCATTGGCCCTATTCCCGGTCAAGGGCACATACCTAGGTTGGAGGTTTGATCCTGTGTCTCACATCAATGTTTTTCTCCCTGCCCCCTCCCTTCCACTCTAAAAAAATCAATGGAAAAAATGTCCTTCAGTGAGGATTAGCAACGACAAAATGATCAGATGGTGGGTAGTACATTTTCTGGAGGGAAGAAACCAGCAACCCAGAAAATGACCAGGGGAGGAAAGCTCCAGTCCCAGGGAGGTGAGAACACATCCTGAGGCCCTGCCACTGACAGGGCTAGGGTTCCAGGATGGGGAGGGCCCTCAAGCTGTTAGCAAGAACATGACCACCACAAATCCTCCCTCCAGCTTGGCCTGTGCTCCCTCTGTCCCCCACCCCTGCTTGGGAAGCAATTGCCTGGGGCTCTTCCCTCCCACCGTCCTTGGTCTGCCATTGAAAGCCAACTTCTTACTCCTGCACAGCCCCCCTGGGCTGGGATGGCAGCAGTTGGGAATCCCGTGCAGTTTGACAGGTGGAGCGCCAGGTAGGAGGGATGAGCTGAGGCTCTGCTTAGGTCTCTGCAGAAGCAATATATAGAGGAAGAAATTCAAATTGTGGATCAGCCTATTGCCATCCCATAAGCGAGGATGGCGCGCCACCCCACACGTACACAGCATATACAAACCATCTCTGGGCACCATTCATTCTCTCCCCATCTCCATCTCACCATGGGAGGCAGCACCTCCAAGATGTGGGAGGAGGGAGAGAAGTTCACCTGGACCCCATTGAATAGGGAAAGGAGCTTTATGGGACAGGGACAGGTCACAGACCCTTAAGTAAGGTGGCTTTTCAAAGCTGAGTGTGGATCGTCAGGTCCACGCAGAGCACCTGAGAAGGCTCCATGTGGACAGGATTGGGGGCCAGGCTTTGGCCAGCCGCCATGGCCTTGGTCCTCACCCCTATGCTCTGGAAAAGGGGCAATGGGCCATCCTAGGGACTCAGGCTCCCTGTAACCCTTTGGCTCCGGTGTGGCTACAGAGGGTCTTACCCTTGACTCTGAGGTGCAGTCACGTGGTCGCGATGGGGGTAGAGGAGGCTTTGCAAAAGGCCCAGATGGTGACCTGAATGGTGCAGAGCGGGTCCCTGAAGATGCAGCCACGCCTTCCCTCTGTTTACCACCAGAGGGCGCTGTCAACCCTGCCGGCTCGCGGAAAATCCCCACCCGCCCTAGCCTGCGCTCCTGAAACCCAAATCCTCAAAATACAGACTTAAGGACATCAAAGCCTTGGGGGCAAAAGCAGATAAGCAAAGGTGCAGGGGCTCTTCCTAACCCCGCGGGGTTCTTCGTACTCAGAGCCCTTTCACAGACCGCCCCCCCCCCCC